TGAGCAGTCCAGTCTTTGCTCACTCATATCAGTCCACCTGCAATGTGGCCTTGGTCCGTCGATCTCCTAGTGGTCTCTGCTGACAACGCCAAAAATTGTGGTGGCACGATTTACCAAGAATGCAGAAACACGTTGGAATAAATGCACAGAAAGTCTGCGTGTATGGTCATCAAATGATTTAATTTGAGCAAAAACAATTTATAACTTTGGTCGAAAGGGGAGGGGCTGGTCGGGCCGGCCRAGGAGTGCTGAGAGATTTCATTGGATTAGCTCGATGTCATTCAAGAAAATCAACCAATGGGCCGTCGCGGTCGACAAAAAATTAGTTATAATACAATTTTTTGGTTCATGACAGGCCCGCCTGGCCCAAAATCACCACCGGTTCACCGGGCAAGTGTCCGCTATGCCCGATGGCCAGTCCAGCACTGGTATGGGGTGCATAAATACCTGTTACAATGGGCAGAATCTGAAAAAACAACATCATATGGGATTCCATGTTTTATACAGATTTTAGAACAACATGTTCCCATCCAAACATCTTTTTTAGAGAGGGTCTGGCAATTTTTCAGCAAGACAAAGCTAAACCACATACTGTGTCCTTTACAACAGCATGGCTTTGTAGTACAAGAGTCCGGATGGTGAATTGTTCTGCCTACAGTTCAGAACTCTCATTGACTGAAAAAATTTRGCATATCATGAAACAAAGACAGTCTGACAAAAAAAGACCCAGGATGGTTGAACAACTAGAATCCTACTTCAGACAGAATGAGATTATATTCTGCTTCAAAACCTCCAGCAGCTGGTCTCCTCAGGTCCTGGACATTTACAGACTGTTGTTAAAAGAAGAGAGGATGCTTCACATAGGGAGACAAAGCTCTGTCCAAACTTTTTTTAAATGTGATGCAGGCATCAAATTTAAAGTTACTTTTTTTTCTAAAACTGATGTAATTTATTGGTTTAAATATTTAATATGTTCACTGTGTTCTTCTGTGAGAAAAAATATATGCTTGTGAGATTTACAAATCATTGTATTTTCTTGTTATTTACACTTTACCCAACATTCCAATTTGCTCAGAATTGGGGTTGTGTTATGATTAAGGTGATAAAGGCATCAAATTTACTGAGGACTTTTTAGAGCGGTAAAACACTTGTCAGATTAGAAGTTGAAGAATTGCTGTACTCTCCAAAAAATCTGGCAATAAAAGCAGTAATCTGAAGGAAGAGGGAATGGTGTTGATCAGTATCTCTTCACACAGTGACAGAACTGATTCCTAATRTAAATAGCTTGTAGACATGTGGCCTCGCAGCAACATGACGTGTTTCTGTGCTGTTTTCTCCTCAGATAAAACCCCCACTTCCAGGTCAAGGTCAAGACCTTATTTTTTTCCAGTAGATCAAATGTTAAAACAACAACACTTGAATAAAGGATTTTGTAGTCAAATAAAATTTATAGCTTTGGAGGTTCTTTCATGATCATTTAATCACGTGTCCTGAGTGTCCTGGCTTAATGTTGATAACTGTGTCTGAATTCAGGGGCTGCATCCTTCAACAGACCCTACCCAGTAGGGCTGGGKTTTTTTTGACTGTGAAGACTGGAAGAAAATGAAGTTTTTGGGAGTCATAATGAAAAGCTGACATGGAGACCTCATGTAAATCATTTAAGAACAAAAATAGCCAAGTCCATTGCAGTATTATACAACGTAAAGGATTTATTTAATGATAAAGTTCTGTTTATATTATATAATGCAATAATTGTTCCACACTTGATCTACTGTATTAATGTTTGGGGAAAGTCGTGCAAAACAATTACAAACCCAAATTTTGTTTTACAGAAAAGATCTGTAAGAATTATCACCAGAAAGCATTACTGTAACCCATCACATTCATTGTTCCATYAGWKKAAGTTATTGAAATTCTATGATTTGGTTGATTATGGGATTTTATCAGTCATCAGACTCATAAAAACACATTACCTTCAAACATCCAATTACACTTTGTTAAAAGAGAGAGTTGTTATAATCTCAAGGGGATAGTAATGTTTGTAAGACCTAAAGTTAGAATCAGTAATCAGGAATGGAGTACTTCAGTCCAGGGTGTAAGATTATGGAATAATCTGGAAGATGACATTAAAAACGCCAGATCAATGAGTATATTTAAGAGAATATAAAGAAGCGTGTACAGAAAATGGATGGATGGATGGATGGATATGTAAATGTATGAATTGTTGTTCACGGATTTAAACCTTTGTTATTTATTCATTTATTTTTTGGAAACTAAAGATTATTTTTTGATTGAATTTATTTATTTATTTGAGAAAAGGGGCAGATAGAAGATTGTTTTTCTTCTGCTACCTTTCATTTAATTTAGGATTTGTATTTTGTTGTTTGTTGAATTTATGTTGTTGTTCTTAAAGAAATAAATAAACGAACTGAACTGAACTGAACTGAACTGAACTGAAAATAACTGTGAATTTGGATGATCTGGTGGTCATCTTTATTCCCACCCTTACCCCTGCGTCTTGTCACCTAACAATCATGACAGTGGACAATTAAGACAATAAAGGTCAGAAATAGATTGAAATTAGTAAAATGTTCATATATTATTATTGTTGTTAACAAGTAATTAACAAGACGCAAATAACAAAAGCCTAACAACCCAACTTGTTTTAAACTTTCAATTTTTGTACCGCCAGATTTTAATTTAAAACTGTGCTCCTGTCTCTTGCTTCCTTCACCATTTCAAGCAAAAAAATATCCGGGTCGGCCCACAATGCATCCTGAGATAGGTTGAGCCGAGAAGGATGTACTGGACCCAACCCTCAAATCGGGGGAGAAGGGTTCATTTGTAGGTTGCATTAAAGGGGCCTTCAGATTTGGACAACGTTCGGAGCATTGCTGTGATGTAATCGGCCTTTAAATTCAGCCTTTGAAGGATGCWACCCCTGAATTTGGACACAGCTTTTATCTTTATGGATAGATGTTTAATGATAACTGTTATGAAGGCTGGGAGATCATGTAACTTTGTGTGTGTGTGTGTGTGTGTGTGTGTGTGTGTGTGTGTGTGTG